GGGGGGGGGGGGGGAGACACCAGGGGAACGCCGGAGGAACACCAGGCTCGTGGATCGATAAGCCGAATGATATTTCTTTCGGCAAAATAATCGCGATCTATCTCTTTTAATTGTTCCTGCTCGTTGGAATCCGGCACGAAACTTTACGTTGGAATAATAAAACGTGATCGATAGCCGAGGATCGTTGGCTGGAACGAGAACGGCGATATCCTGGTCGAGGAAGCCGAACGTCGCCGCGTGTATCTACGCCCGATTCTAGAGGAAATATACGGCCGAAACGAGCGATAAATTGTAACACCTCGTTCCAGGTATTGCATAAACCGAGTCCTTTCTCGCGCGGCTGCGTATCAAACGCGCTCGAGTTTCTCGTTACGTCGTCGGGTTTCGCGCGCGGAGGAATGAAGGCGTTTGCCGTTGAGCGATAAAACTCGAGGCAGAGGCGAATTTCGACCGGTCCGTTGGTACCGGTTCGAGGCAACGCGCGAAGGCAAAAGGCGCGTTTTCATGGAAAACAGAGCGTAACGAGCTCCGTGTCCCGGAGGCGTTCCCCTGTATGGATCGGGAACCGCTGGCGGAGAAATTCGGCCACGAAAGGAAGAATTTCGGAGCAGCTGGTCGTGGCCGGAATCCCAAGTTCGCGGGCTGACACAGATCCAGCCGGCGGTAACTCGGTGTTGCGTGAATATTTTACCGTGAACTGTTAGCCGAATGAGCTTGCTGAGGCCGGGTCCGATGCCGTTGCTGGCCTGGCATAGATAGAAGCCGGCATGATCTCTGGATACCCGTGGGATCGCCAAGGACCCGTTCCCGGCAACCCCTGCTCCCTCGGTGCCGCTGTATCCCAGCTCTCTGTAGTCTCCTGGTGTATCGCCTGGATGTTCCGGGGGAGCAACCATTATTCCTCTGAAGCCATTCGCTGTCACGAGTCTCTGTCTACGTTTCGGTCACTATCGAGACGGCCGATAGACGGAACGCGAAGAGGAGAGGGGTGCAGTCGTGTCAGGATTGCGAATTACTCTCTGTTTATGGCAAGTGTTCGTAAGTAGGTTCGTCTCCGTGAAATACCGGGAATGCTGGGATGCTCGAAACGATTGGAATTCTTTCGCTCCTCGACCCCGGTAAAATCCAGGTGACTCGTTAAATTGAGACCGGTCCAGCGAAATTGGGTTAATTCGAGTTTAGAAGGGGGTAGCGGGGGAAGAGTGTTCTCCGAGGGGAGAACATGGTTACTGCTTCGACCAGTTTGCTTCGTGGATACTAAATATCCAAAGGTCCACGCCGTAGTCACTTACGGTGTTAATCCGCAGCCCTGGTGGACCAGTCTTGGAACCTGCAACCGCGTCAAGTGTCTCGTCTGCGCTGATAGGGTTTTAATACGCTACTCGGGCTAATTTCCGACAACCCACGTATCCGTACCTACTTCGAAGAAATTCCAATTACGCGTGGATCGATTCCGGCAATGTTTCCAACCAGTCTCGAATTAGCTAAACACGAGTTTGATCACCGAAACGCCTTGGTCCTGCGAAACGAGCTACTCCGCGGGGGGAAAATTCAGTTTGCACCGGTAGTATATTCACCGATTCGTCGAATCGCGTGCAGGAATCCCACGTACCTCGTGGGATACGCGTTTATGACGTTACAGAATTTTCTGCCGGGTATCAGAATATCTGCTGGAATTCGCGATGTCGTCTGGCCCCCTTCCATCGTCGGTGGGGAACGCTACCACAGCGCTGGATCAACGTCACCCGACATTCTTTCCGATACAATAAACATCGGGAAACGGGTAAATGTCCAAAGGAAGCTTGACGTTGCGTGAAAAGATACAACGTGCATGCGCGGAATCGCGGTCGAAAAGTACTTCTCTGCCTCTGGATGCCAAGCTCAGAACCACTGTTCGAGCATCGAATCTCCCGGAAGATCAGGAATACGGCTTTATTGGCTTATTAAACGTCGCGGGGAAAATACTCGTGAAGATGTAATCCTATGTATCAAGTGGAACTCTTTGACTCTGAATATCGAGTCGAAGAGCATTACCCAGGCATCGAATCTTTGAAAAATCCCACTCTAGATAAAGGTAAGATCTTCTAACCTTCGGTAAGAAAGAAAAGGAATATCTTCGTGACAACGTGGTGGATAAATACTCTTGTGCCACTGGGCAATGAGGTAGAAACCACTGTTCGAGTATCAAATCTATGGAAAGATCTCGAATACAGGTTTATTGGCTTATTAAATGGGACGGGGAAAATATTCGTGAAGATGTAATCCCATATATCAAGTGGAACTCTTTGACTCTGAATATCGAGTCGAAAGCATTACCCAGGCATCGAATCTTTGAAATATTCCACTCTAGATATACGCAAGATCCTTTAACCTCGTGTGTAGATGAAAAGGAATACCCTCGTGACATCATAGTGGAAAAATACCCTTCTACCCTGGGATACTGAGCTCAAAACCACTGTTCGAGTATCGAATCTCTGGGAAGATCAGGAATATGACTTTATTGGCTTATTAAACGGAAAATACTCGTGAAAATGTAATCCTATGTATCAAGTGGAACTCTTTGACTCTGAATATCGAGTCGAAAGCATTACCCAGGCATCGAATCTTTGAAATATTCCACTCTAGATATACGCAAGATCCTTTAACCTCGCGTGTAGATGAAAAGGAATACCCTCGTGACATCATAGTGGAAAAATACTCTTCTGTCAGTGGATATCGAGCTGAAAACCACTGTTCGAGTATCGAATCTCTGGGAAGATCAGGAATACGGCTTTATTGGTTTATTAAACGTCGCGGGGGGAAATAATCGTGAAGACGTAGTTCCATATATCAAGTGGAACTCTTTGACTCTGAATATCGAGTCGAAAAGCATTACCCAGGCATCGAATCTTTGAAAAATCCCACTTTGGATACACACAGACGTACACAAGGAAGACCCTCAAACCCTTTGTGAAAAAGAACAGAAATATCTTGCTGAAATCGTGGAAGAAAAAGCACGAACTTTATGGCTGCGAATACCAGCCTGGAGAAGCACTGTCCAACTATAGGATCTGCGAAAAGGTCGCAATATTCGGAATACGGATACGTTTAATTAATTCTCTGCTTCGCTGGCTTATGTGTGTCTGAAAGGTACTCCTTCGGGTAATGAGCGATCTAACTTGCGCGAAATTAGAATAGGCGGAGAGAAATCGCAGCAGTTCCGTGGTAGATGGGTCGCGATCGAGGAAAAAGAGGCGGAATTTCATCCCCGAGCGGCGCAATATAATGTTCACGTGCAACGAACCGGCGAAACTAATTGTACTACCGCTTCGCGAGGCTGAGGGGCTTATTTCGGATTGAACGAGACCGCTGGAAACGACCGATCAGCGAAATTTCTGATGGATATCTTCGTCAACCCCGGCCAACCCCGGGTTAAATACACTCGGCAGCTGTAACTCGCTGAAAACGACGATCGATGAGATTCGCGTAAAAGTCAGAGTTATTAAACTCTTTAGGCAGAAGAGATGAAAAGATCAACGGGGAAGAAGAAGAAGAAGAAGTAGAAGTAGAAGAAGAAGAAGTACCGTGGAATTATCCAGAATTTTCCTCGTCTCGTATTCCGTTGCAAGGTCAGCGGTGACTGGTTGGCGAGACTCTGGAGGCAAACAGAAGTTCCTAACGGCAACATCTTAGCGATAAGTTTGCATCGATGTTTATAGATCGAGGCCACAGCGGCTCGCGAAGCGATTCTCTCTGATAGAATTTTAAATTTTCCTCCACGGCTTCGAGGCTCCGCCATTTTCCTCTTTGTTCATCGACCGCGAGCTTCCACCTTTGCATTTCCCTCTGCGGCACATTCGCGTATAATCCGGCATGAAATTCCGTCGTTATTAATTATTTATCGTCATCCGAGTTCTCTCTTTCGGCTGCGAAATCGTCGCGATAAATTACGCGAAATTCCAGCACGTTTTCCACGATGGAACTTCCATGTACACTCGTCACTGCTCGAGAGTGGACCCGGGACACGGTGAAACGTTGATCTCGGCGATTAAACGAAATCGCACAAGAACAGCCATTACGAGCGAATAGAACGCTGCGCGAGAGGAAGCGCGTTAGCATCGACGAGCACGCGAGTAAGCAGACACGCGCGAGGGCGCAGCCGAGTTTCGCGTAAGAGGAAACGAGCCGTCGGAAGACGAGCATCGAATTGCGCTTATTAAGTGGCATCGAGCTGTTACACCGGCTTGTTCGCGCGTTCAAAGCGCAATTTACGCTTCGCGAGTCGAAGACTCAAAAGAACTCGCGTCGCAGCGAGGAGCGACGGTGGCTGGAGGAACGAGGGAAAGATGACGAGATAGGGGTAGATCTAATCGCGAGACGTCGCTCCACGAGTTACGATTCTGCGATTTGTCTAGCGACGACCGGTTCTTTACTTACGAGCTCGTCGAACGTTAAAAATAATCCACGATATTTCACCGCGAATAGACACGGTAAATTCGAAAAGAAAAGCTCGGAGAGGAAACGAGACGAAGCACGGGAACGGGGAGTTCCCGTTGGGTGACTAATCGTATCATCGTTCGAGATCGATGCCCGACGTACGTCACCCTTCGTGGTTCCCGGTAAGACAGAGGACAGTTTTTCGGCACGACAGACCGGAGCTATCTACGGCCACAGTGGGACGCTGGGTTTCAAGGAGTCGTGACTTACCGATCGATTGCTTCCAAGTCACCGTCGGAATGGGGAATCCTTCAGCCTGACAGGCAATGGAGACGCCGTGACCTACAACGGCGTTCTGGTCGATAGGTTCCACCGTCCACCGCGGCGGCACTAAAAATACCATCCAATTGGCTTAAAATCTTCCGGATCGCCGGTTCCTCGCGGACCAGCGTTTCGTTCGTCGCCCGATCTCCCGGCCGATCCTCGTCGATCGCCACCGCGTCCGCTCTTTCAGGCCGCCCCCAGTCACAATTACACCCTTTACCCCCTTATCGCGATCGCGATCCAGCCGACCGTTCCTCGACAATGCTTCGTTTCCACGGGCCAAACAACGGGTCAGGTCGTTTCTACCTGGCACGTGGCTGATGTACGAAATTCGTTTCCAGCACCCGAGAAAAGGGGTTGGACTCGTTTCGCCAATTTCCCCCGCAACTTTTCCTTCCTCGCAATTTCTCGGGGAAGGCACGCGTCCATTCGAGTGCCGAGATCGTGACCGAAACTCGGGCCCAATAAAAACCCCACGAATTTATTCCCCGCATTTCCCACCCCTTCGAGAGTGTACGCGTGAAACGAGGATTGTCGCGATTTTCGACGAGTCGCGCAAAAGAGCGACTGTAACTTCGAAATTAGAAAATTTGAAATTAGAAAATTCGAAATGATCCGAAATATTTCTCGATTTCAAATTGATATCGAATTTTCACCGGGAAAGATTGACTTTGTTACGCGAAACTCGATACCCGCAGAGGGTACGCGACGGGAACAATCGGGCCCCGTCCGATTTGAAACCGGGAAATCGAATCACCGGACAGGGAACGCGCGTAACGGCGATCAATCAAGGCGTTTCCTCTGGTCGGACGGGAAAAATGATACCTTGTTCGAGTAATTAGCCATTGTTCCATGGACACGGGTAGAACGAGCCGGATAGGGCGATCGGACGACGGTTCCTCGTCGACGAGGATCGCCGGTCCAGGGGCGTATCTATCTATCCACTACGTTTGTCTTTGCTGTCGCGTGTTGCTGTTTGTACTCGCGGTATACTCGTGTGTCGCATGCATTTCCAACGGGTTCGATGTTACTGCATACTTACGGATCGCTAAAAGTGTGAACAACAACGTGTGGCAACAAAACCGGTGGTGTCTGTGTTTTGGACTACTTGAATTGACGATGTCGTATTTAGAAGGGGTAAGATGTTTACTCATTCGTTGTCTCAATCAGAGGAACTAAATTACCAGGAAGAAGTTCGAGCAGTGATCGAAAAGAGACAAAACGAAACGTGGAACGAAACCGAGAGTAAAGGAAAGTAAAAGAAAGTGAAAAGATCGTGCTTTAGTATGGTAAATCGGTGACGGAACGAAAACGTGCTCGGTTCTCGGAAAAAATTCATACGTGACGGTGGGATCGAGGGTGTTACTCGACGGTGGGTGGAGGGGGATGAAACGAAAAGTCGGAAAAACGTCTTAACTAAGGAAAAACGAACTCGCTGGTCCATGATACTAAAAAGGGGGAGAGTGAGCATTCGTTGGAATAATTATACGAGAGAAATGGTATACCGTGACTGGGAGGGTCAAGTGTTCCATGCAAGAATCGTTTTAGTCGAAAAATATAAAAAACACGGCAGGCATCATTCCAAGTAAAAAAGATTCGAATATATAATGTAATAATAAAGGTTTAAAGAACAACGTACGAACAACGCAAACGGTACCTATTCTCAAAGAAACGTTACTTGTGATCAGTAGTACGAAGAAAAAACACGCAGAAAACTTCGAAGGCACACAGTAAATAATGTAAACGTTACTCTCAACATTCTTTCCATCGTCATTCCAAGTTGCTCGTATGTATATAGAGATAAAATATAAAGGTAGGCGAAAAAATCGTACGAGAAAACGTACTGAACCAGTAAACGTTAACTACGCGAACGCATGCTTTTACATCCGTCACAGACATTTTGTTGCATTACACGAGCACAATATAAGTAATATCTCTCGGTACACGAAACCGCTACCAAAAAGAACAAAAGGAAAACGAAAAACGGGAAAAAAAAGAAGAAAAAAAATATAGAAAAACGCAGACAAAAAAGAGACCAGAGAGATGAAAAGGAACAACGCAAGTGAAAAATGAAATGATACTCTAACTAATGAACACGCGTGAAACGAGAAAAAGAAAAGAGTACGCCGAAAAACAGGGGAGAAAGGGATAAAGAAAGAAAGAAAAAAAAAAAAAAACAGATTGAAAAAACGAAACAAGTGATTCGTTCGCAATTAAAAAACGGTCGAACAACAAAAGTGTTCTAATTCTAATTAGAGATCAGCACGTTCAAAACTGTCGAAATCTACAATCGAACTCTTTACAAATGCTGATGATCGTGAGGATGTACAAATAGTAACGATGAAACAACGAGAAAAGAAAGTATAATAATAACAACAATCAAATTCTCATTTACTTTGCAACATCTTTCTATCTTCTTTTTTCGCTTTCTTCCAATCTTTTTTTCTTTTTCTGT